GTAAGATTTATTTCATGTTTAATGAATCTGGGGCCTCATGGTATGCTGCTGGGGAGTTTTAGAACACTTTGCCTTTACTTCTTCACACGTACATACAATTCTAAATGATGTAATTCATTAAATTTTTAATTACTTACCAAAATCTACCCTTGTTAATATGCACTGCATTGGGTGGTCAGTTGTATGCCTTGTCGTTGTTGCACCACTTTCATAACAAGATGCACAAAGATCGTAATCGTAGCAAATTAAACACTTACATCTGCAACCTCGAAAATTTCCTTTTAAACATGCATCATAGCTGACACCTATAAAAAAAAGAAATATCTTTTGTTACCAGTTATAAAGGCCACTCTTGATTTCATTTCTATGAATGTTTCAAGTGCTCATTTAATGCCACATATCCTTTCCAAAATGACTAGAAATGACTTAGTAAAATGATATGGGAATTTTTAGCCATGTGCTGGATTCATTACTCTGATTTGTATACTCCAGATGAAAATAATTTAAAATGACTGATACAGGCTGGGCGCGGTGGCTCACGCCTGTAATCCCGGTACTTTGGCGGGCCAAGGTGGGTGGATCACTTGGGGTCAGAATTCCAAGACCAGCCTTGGTCAACATGTTGAAACCCCGTCTCTACTAAAAATGCAAAAATTAGCTGGGCTTGCTGGCAGGTGCCTGTAATCCCAACTACTTGGGAGGCTGAGGCACAAGAATTGCTTAAACCCAGGAGGTGGGGTTGCAGTGAGCTGAGATCACGCCACTGCACTCTAGCCTGGGCAACAGAGCAAGACTTTGTATCCAAAAAAAAACCAAAAAAACCAAAACCAAAACTAAAAACAAACAAAAAACCACTTAAAATTAAATAAAGTAAAATGACTGACACAATGTAATCACCCTTTTCCCCCCTTAAAAAATGCCTTGATATAGGCCAGGCATGGTGGCTCAGGCCTGTAGTCCCAGGACTTCGGGAGGCCGAGGTGGGCGGATCACGAGGTCAGGAGATGGAGACCATCCTGGATAACATGGTGAAACCCCGTCTCTACTGAAAAAAAAAAAAAAATACAAAAAATTAGCCGGGCTTGGTGGCAAACACCTGTAATCCTAGCTACTCCGGAGGCTGAGGGAGGAGAATCGCTAGAACCCAGGAGGTGGAGGTTGCTGTGAGCCGAGACCAAGCCACTGCACTCCAGCCTGTGTGACAGAGCGAGACTCCACCTCAAAAAAAAAAACAAAAAAAAAAACCTTGATAAGCCAGCAAGAAGGTAAAAACCAAGATGAAGAGGGACTGGTGACTGACTGGAAGCACTAAAGAGGGCTTTTCACAATGAGGGTATTTGCCAAAGCAGGTAAAAATCTAAGTTTAAGTTCCACAGCATTACAGGACAAAGGCCTACTGAAGGTGGGATAATTAACAGAAGATTCCTCATAAAACCAAGATCCTAATATACTCTCACAATGCATGGGTGGGCTAGAAATCCTCCCTAGGGGATTACAAAAATTACCCTAGTGAAAGCCCCCTGCCCTGGGGGCACAAAATAACAACCAAAAGCCATAACTACAAACCAGTCCTCATGGGTTTATAGCCCAAATTCTATCAAATGGTTCCAAAGACCTTGGGTCAAGAATTTTAAGTGGTCTTAAATTAGAATTGACAGCAAGCATCTGGCATATATTAACATCCAAGGAATAAGTTCATAATTTAAATCATAAAATACAAAAAAGCAAAGCACCATCAGAAAGAACTAGCAGGAGCAGCAGAATCAGTCATGAGTTCGTATCAGAACTGGATATCAAATAATTCTTAACTTGTTAAAAGAAATAACTGGGTGTTGTGCCTAACACCTGTAATCCCAAGCACTTTGGCAAGGCAAGGCAGAGGGATGGCTTGAGGCCAGGAGTTCAAGACCAGCCTGGGCAACATAGAGAGATCCTGTCTACAAAAACATTTAAAAATTAGCTGGGCATTGTGGCCTGTGCCTGTAGCCCTAGCGACCAGAAGCTGGAGGAAAGGGAGAATGGGGAGTTACAGTTTAGTGGGTAGGGAGTTTTGAAGTCTGGGATAATGGAAGAATTCTGGAGATGGACAGTGGTGATGGTTCCAAGAATGTGAATATACTTAATGCTACTGAATTGTACACCTAAAAGGGCTTAAAATAAATTTTATGCTATGCTATGTACTGCAATAAAAAAATATGCCATTTGCAACAGCATTTTTTAAAAGTGCCTCTGAATAAATCTAACCAAAGATAGGTAGCCTTTTATGAAGCAAATGAGTAAAAATGTATTCAAAGACACTAAAGGACTTTAAAAAATACAGATACCAACTTCATGGACTGGAAGGTTCATAATAAAATGTCAACTGATTTGTAGATTCAATACAATTATAACCAAAATTTAAAAAGAATTTTTTTGTGGGATATGGTAAGCTGACTCAAACGCTGATACAAGTTACAAAAAGGGCCAAGGACAGTCAAGATGCTCCCAAGAAAAACGAGATAGAGGGATTTGTTTTATATATATATAGAGCTACACTGATAAATAATAAGTAATACAATAACAAATTATAAAGCTATAATAACTATAAGAAAAAGGAATGGCACCAGCGTAGAGACAAACCGGCCTTTGGAATAGAATGGAAAGCCCAGAAGCGGAGGTTGAAATCTGTTTTACCACAGCAAGGTCACTAAAGGACACTGAGAAAAGAAGGGAGTGGACAATAAATAGTGCTGAACAGGTGATTATCTACATGTGGGGAAAACAGAATTAGATCTCTTCCCCATATCCCATACACACAAAAAATCAATTCCACATGGTTTAAAGACAGATTCAAAAGAACATTGAAAAATATCTCTAGAAGACCATATAGAATATTTTGATCAGCCTAAAGTAGAAAACAATTTCTTAAATCTTTCTTTCTCTTTCTCAAACACACACACACACTCCAAATCAAAAAGTAAGAGATAAATCCAACTATGTTAAGAGTTTTTCTTGGTCTTTTAACAGCCTACGAGGCCGGGCGCGGTGGCTCAAGCCTGTAATCCCAGCACTTTGGGAGGCCGACACGGGTGGATCACGAGGTCAGGAGATCGAGACCATCCTGGCGAACACAGTGAAACCCCGTCTCTACTAAAAAATACAAAAAACTAGCCGGG